GCAGGCGGGCACATGGCCTGGGGTCGTCGAGACTGGAACTGCAGCATCGGGGAGACAGTGGTAGTGGAGACAGCTAATGCTTCTCTTGCTAAGTTTGTGCAGTATGCACATGGGCATGTAACGCCGAGCTGGTCGAGCTATTGGGCATCTGGTTCAAAGAGATGGGCGACGGTGCCTGGCTGTGGACGCTGGGATATGCACATGTGCAGTCCAAGATGCGACGGCGGCATCGCTCGGTGGTCGGCCATCATGCTGTGTGCTGGCCCTTGCTGTTCTTTCCTGGTTCAGTCGGATCGTGATCAAATCTTCACGGTTTCGACGCCAATGGAAGGCGCACGACAACTGGCGAAGTGTGCCTGCAGCTGCGCCTGTCGGCGGTCCGTGCCGGGCCGCGTTGGAGGAACGCCGCGCCAGGCCCCGCCCTCAGCGAGCCACCCTCAGTAAGCCGCCCTCACCATCACACATCAACATGCCGACCCCACCTCGAAGCACCAAACAAGCCACAAACTCATCGCCATAGCCGTCAATGCGCATTCAATCGCTACTTGTTGCTAGCCATACGCATCGCTCACAAACATGGCGTCATGGTACCCAGCACGGCGGTTGACATGACCTACCATGGCCCACCCGCTCCTCTCACTCGATATGTTCAACTCTCCTTCCCCACACGCGTACGCGCAGCCTCGTCCGTCCGGTCGCGTGACTCGAGAGAATTGCGACGGCCAGAGGGCCCTGAACTCACACGCCGCCCCGGCCAGGACCACCCACCCGACTGCGTACACCACCCGATACACCGACCGCACACTCACGCGACCCAGGATGTCGCCTACAACACATGGTATCGCGCTCAATAGATCGACGTACATCCCATAGCATTTGGCTACCCTAGCGGACACGCCGTCGCTAGCACCATCGCGATGCCAGACCCATAGCGACAACACGCGCAACCGATACCGCGCCTCTGCGTTGCTCATACGCCAATGTGCGAGTACGCTCACATGCTCTTTTGCATCACCGCAGCCTTCACCCACTCGATGCTTCTGCCATAGCCAACTCTCGAATGCCGCGCGCGACGAACACCATATCAAGGCTGTTCTTGTCTCCTCGGGTCTCGCATCTCTCTCTTGGCTGGACAAGGTGCGCACTTGGAAGCTGGGTACTGCAACGAATGCAACGGCCACATAGCGGGCACGCCGACCCGCCGACCCATTCCGTCGCCCAACAACGGGCTATGCGCCGGGCCTTGGTACCGGACCGCCGCCTTACCGACGACTCGCAGCCGGTGGACGTATAACCGAGGGAGCTGCAAGATGGCGCAGTCAAGACACAGTCGCATGCGGTCATTGTGCCGACCCGGCTGTCGTTTGCGCATCGTCAGCAAAGGCTGCCCTGCGGCAACTTTCACTACAAGCCGTGCGGCTCAGGGTACGCCCTCAGCACGACCTCCCAACGGGCTGACGCAGAGTTGCGGCGTTTGTCAGGGTTGCCAGTGCAGATGCTTGTGGTTGTTTCGACGGCATAGGAATGAATCCAAGGCTTGGGCGATGCAATGTGAAGCAGGCTATGGACGAAGCACAGTGGGCTGGTTCATGATGACAGGTAAGGGTTTTACATGGCATCCAATCCTTGTTTTCGTCGCTAACATCTCATCAGGGAAGAAGTCACGCCGCTGAATCGAACCTCGCCGACGAGTCCCTCTTACCGACACGCATCTTGCCCGATCCGTCGCATGATCACAATACAATAGCGCGATCCTTGCAGACCGGCACGACCACGCCCAGCCCGACTTCCATGCATACAACTCGGAGGCGAACATGATAGGCGCGAATCTTTTTGGGGAAGCAGAGTGTGGATAGCTCATCGGAGATCCAGGGGAGCATACTAGGCCTGGAGAGCGGCCCTTCGGCTTGACAAATCTGGTGTCATCCTCACACAGTGCTCTTGAATGACGCCGAGACAGGCTGCCGTGGCGCGCAGTCCTCTCTTCGTCGTCTCGCAACACTGTTCAAAGACAACCGCCACGATCTAGTGCTTTTGGTAGACTGTGATCCTTTCTTGTCACGCTCTGGGTTTACGTACACGGTCTACTACCGGGGACAACGTGTCTGGACAATGCGCACTCACACATACACCAAAGCCCGATGCCGCCACCTCCATGAGGAACTCATGATGGATGCAGTTGCCAAACAAAAGGTAACAAAGAGACATCGAGGCGGAACGCTTCCAAAGAAACGTCTCAGCATTCGCATTTGGAACCCTTGCCTGATGAACAACGGGGCGTAGCCTGATAGCCGTTCAGAAATGCCTACGCAGCTGGGAAGAATGTAGACTTCCCGAGTGATGACGATGCTGTGCCGGAAGCCTTTCGAGGACGGCATTGTTGCGATGAATGGAGTCTTGGAAGTCTTTGTTGCCGCCGAATCCGTACTGCCCGAGTGCGCGGTCTCTTTGTACCAGATCTCCGCCACTCAATCTAGCAGGGAAGTTACTTTGCTTCAGTATAGCTCCCTCGTGGCCATGCAAGTTGAATTGATCTTTTCATGACCAATATGATGTTCTGACAGAGCCCCAGATCTTGCTACGATTCGCATCAGTCAGAATCTAGCTCATTCTCCCTCTCTCCATGGCGATTCCTCTGTCAGATCTCCACGTCGCTTCGGAGTTCGTGTCTCCACCGATCAGGAACGCAAATCGTAGGCCCAGCATCCCAAGCGTATCGAGCATGCACGATGATCGAAACAATACTCTTCAATTTCCCAGGTACAGAAAAGCACTTAGTATCCCGCTCGACGCACACCAGCTGGCCTACCTTGACAGAAACCCTTTGCCAACACTGCCTCTACTAGCAAAAGTTCGTCAATGTTGCACACGGTTCACCGATAAGCTCCCCAATCACAGCCCACCGCAACTTCTCAATAGTGTCTGGCACGTCGGAACAATGAGTTTTCGCATTCTCGGTGTAATTGTAGCGTTTGTTGGTGGTGTGGCAATGAAGGGAACTCGATGGCTTATCTGGAGTAAGCTCATCACTACCCAGTTTTCTCGCCCTGCAAACCAAGTCCCAGCATTGCTAACTATTTTCTAGAACGACCATTCGCTAAGACGATTGTATCTTGGACTATTCTGTTATTGCTGGGCTCCTTTTCCTCTTCACTCGATGCCGGCAACCTCACTACACCGACTAGAAATGACGCTACTGGCCCTTTGTCCGGCTGGACGTCAGCTTGCCCCCCGACCTTTCTTCATTCTGATCCAGACCTCATACTCGGCGGCTATTCACGCGTCTATCCCGACCTTCAACAGCCCTGGAAAGACGCATATGAGGGGTGGAAACATTTCAGGAAGTGTTGGGCTGGTCCAAGTCCAAGTCCCCACAACCACCCAAACTGGACCAGTCTGTTAGCCCCAGGTAGCCAGCAGCTAAGCGTACATTCCTCATTCTGTATGATTCTGCGCATGCATGGCTGACTGGATTAGGAATTCGAGATTAGATCCCAGATCTTCGAGCGTGGGCGATATGCGTGGGAGATACTCAGTCAATGCCACGACTTTCCCTGCTCTGCCCAGTATGGGAGAACAATTGATTCACGACCACTTGCCTCCGCCCCTTGGGAGCCGCTTCGATATGAACCTCCGGACGACGACCTCGCTATGATCAACAGGAACCGTACATGTCCTCCGTGCCGATTGCGGGACCATCTTTCCACTGCCTTCTCAACTTCTGGCTTCGACCTCGCATCGCTACCTGCTTCATCAGAGGAACTTGAGACCTGGTGCCCCTGTAACTTTGCTCTGGCCTACAAAACGACGCTTCATTTCCTCGCCAATCTACCGTTCCCGTATATCCACCCGTTCTACTCATCGCATCACTCAACCCTCAACAAGCGCGATGACATTCTGTCGATACTCATTCGGTCGTGGAATTGGATGAACAAGATCTGGAACGGAGGACGCATGCCAAGCCAACAAGAATTTGTAAAAGCTTATGCGGAGGGTTGGTGGAGTTACGAACTCAGCAAGACGCATTGCAGCGGGAAGGATTGTCCCCTTCTTAATATTCACGAAGTATATGCTGCGAGAGGCCTACGTTTTCGCAGAGAATACCATGTTCCGTTTTGGGCTCAACCCCTTGATTGATGATTTCCTACGAGCCTCCAGGGCAACATAATACATGCCATTGCGAAAGCGAAGGTGTCGTAAGGCGCCAAGATAGAGCGGATTGCCGCCCTGCGCCGTTTGACAATCTGACATCATGTTTGCCGTCATTTTCAGTATTGCCCTGACTGTGCCAGGCAGTTGTTTGAGTATCACGACGAGCTGGTACACATAACTATAGGAAGAGCAACCACCGACTCAGAGAGAAGAGAGCAGCGCGAGCACAACGCGAGGTCGGCTGCCGTCCGCATTGAGCGCGTTCACATCGGGGACTACTAGTTCATGCGGCAGGATGATGTTCATCGCATCATCGCATACATCCATATCACAAACGAGAGATCCTGGAAGCGTAGCAATTTCGATACCGCGCACACTACAATCACACGTACGCCTGACCTCGTACAACAACGGATCATGCAGAAGAAGCCGCAGAACAAGATGATGCTTATGCCCGAAGACTAGGCAGAATTGCATGCACCACGTCGGCGCACCATGCAACATTAGCCGCGGCAGTCACGGAAGTCTCGGGTCATTTCGTACATCGTATTCGGCGATACCGCGGGGGTAAGACGTCAGGATAAGCTTCCACATCGAGCCGCACACCGCTATTCATAGAAAGATCGCTGTGGAAATAGGGTATACTAACGAGGCAGGACGTAACGTGCTCGCGATCAGCTTACCAAGGGAGCTAGTCGCGCAATGTAGCGGTGGGTAAGCGTAGAGTGGTCGCCAACGTAAAGACCTCGAGTTATCCGTATCTTACCTCTTCTGATCTGTCCATTTGTAACAACATCGGAAGAGCTCTCATCTCCCTTCTAAATCCATACCTCCTCCTCCCAGTCATCATGAGGTTCTCCGCTATTGCGTCTTTCTTTGCTGTTGCCGTGGCCAGCGCCGCAGCCGATGTCACGCCTCGATACGATGTCGACAACTTCTCTGCATACTGTGTCGCTGACGGCGGACTGTGCTAGTACGTCTTCTTTCCTTGTCACTCGTGACCCATCTAACAAGTGCGCAGCTACGACTTCGAAGTCCGTCAGCATGCGAACGGCGAGACAATCCCCACAGAATGCGACACGTCTGCCAAGGGCGATGGAGCCCTTCCGAGTCTCTCCGAAGGTACATGCAAGAGATCTTCGCGCACTTTTGCCGTGATCAGGGAAGATGATGGCAGCCTCAACTTCTCCGTGAGCCAGCAGATCACACCGATCTCCTTTACGGTCGGCAACCACACCATCTCCGCGGACCAGATCGAGAAGAAGGACGGGCAGGAGACATACGTTGGGCCGAAGAGCTTCGGGCTGTACAGCTCTTAAGAAGATGGGGAGAGGAGATTGAGGGATCCGCGAACAGAAATGAGCAGACTTTTACATTGACTTCCTTCCTTAAGCCGTACTGCCTTTTAGTCTGCCTTTATGAATAAACAATTGCCGCAATAATCTTGTTTACCTAGAGCTAGAATCTCCGACTTGTGAGAGGGGGTCTTGGCCGTTCGCACTTGCTGCATGTTCAGCCGCGAGTGTCGATGATTACAGACCCGGGTAGGTGTTAGCGAGAAGTCGCGTTCTATAAAGGTTTCCCGCCTGACGACACGCGATGGAAAAGTACACATTGGTAGCGTTCGCAACGCCCGTTGTGTGAAGGCCGCGGCATCTTGACTGGAGAGAGACACAATTTTTCTATTATCTTGGGGATTGGCATGTGCTACAGACTTCGTAACACGGATGAGCTTTGTTGCTCCTACCGCGGAAGCAGGACTAAGAGTTAGTCTGAATGCTGAGTTGAGATGGATGTGGCGTGGGAGGTTGGTGTATATGGTGAACACGGAGAGGCATGATGAGTGCCCACTGCTAGTACCTCAAAAACGTTACCTGGGAACAAAACGTGGCCTTCAAACATAGTGATGCTACTCTTGGTTCTTATGATAACAGGTTCTTCGCGTCTGACGACGTATTTGATATGTGGAGGAACAAGCGCAAACAAGTACGAGTAGGACATATGCGATTCACAACAACGGCTTCGTTGCAAGCAGTAGTTGTAAGGCGGTTCTTGAAAACGTCCGCGAAGTACAGGATCGAAAGATACGCACGATCGCTGACAAGAGGAACTAGCGTGCTTTTGAAAAGGGTGCTTTTGTAAAGCAATAGCGTATGGAGACGTAGCGGTGACCGCATACCTGATGTAGACGAAAAATCTTGCGAGCAGGCGAATAGACTGAATATATACTTACACTACGCCGGAGGCGACACTAGCGTTGAAAATAATAAGTGCTCGCCTCCGCCGGCTGCGTCAATTCGGCGGCTCCAACGAGTAACGTAGAATTCCAAAGGTTCAGAGCCGCATCTGTAGCCGCTGGATGCACATCGGAGGGTGATGTTTGAAGACCCGAACGCTGCAGCCGACAACAAGGTGCTATGTCAGAAGTTGGGAGAGTGACTATGCCGACAATCATCACCATCTGAACAAGACCTGACCCTAAGCGCTCTCTCCATTTCACCACCCGGAGTCAAGTGCGACCTTCGCCAAAGTCAGGGCTTCTAAGCCCTCACTCTCAACCTGATCTGACGGCAGCCTGCAGTGTTTTCCTGAGCGAGAGCGAGGTTTTGGAGCGCGATATCATGATCGAGAGCTGCTACACCTGGATGCGAAGACTTAACGACCTGCGCGGACATGAGAAGCACATGGTCTTGGTGGGTGCGACATCGTATTCGGGTCATCGCGCATGCCGGGAAGGGTGAGACGAGCGTTATTGCGGCCGTTCGTTCAATTACTAGTCGGACATATTGGTAGATGAGGCATTTGATTCTTCCGCGATGTCGCTTTCCTAGAGCTTATATCCTCATCCCAGCTACACCGTAACAGCTGCTGGCGTGATCATGTGTAGTGATTGGCGGAAGACCTCGTACATTGACGCGGGCAGCTGACAAGATGTAGAGCAGACCTTCGGGCTCGATCGGCTTTCGTGTGCAGCGTGAGATGAGGCGGACTATACGATGCGACACAAGTCGTCTGGCCGGGCCGCGCAAGCTGGAACGATCTGATGAGGTTCGTTGTGGTCTTTTGCTCCAGCCGATGCGAGGGGCTAACCAGACACGTCGCGCCTGTCACAGAGCCAACGCCGCGCTGCTCCTTCGGTCTGAACAGTTATCTCAACATTCATTGTGCCTTCCGTTTCTGGCGGCATGAATTGGCGATGCTGACGAATGTGCTCTGATCGCACGAACAGCCACGCTATCGCAATAATACCGTATACCAAAGTATAACGTCGATGACCAGCTCAAACCAGGACTAGACAGGGGTCTGAATGGAAGATGCAGTCAGCCTATTGCATCATCCCTGATCGCACGATTGCGATAGTATGAAGGCGCCGACATCATTTCAAGAGTCCGCTAACCACTGCCATGATGTGGGACCAGTGAAGTCTTTGAGCATAACGTTGCGCAAGGCTGAATCTACGATTCCAGAGTTCGTAAATCCGTCTCCGCAAGCCCAGAAAGTAGCTGGATCAGAAAGTGAGCCCTAATTGCGAAGAACGCTGACGAAGATGCTTTCGGTTAGGGGAGCGCGAGACTGCATAGGAGTCAGAAAGCCCCCGTCACATGCGACTATGCGACGTTACCAGATATGTGTTGTATGATGAGACAAGAAACAACGTCGAGGAGTGCATGGCAGTGACATCACAATCAACAGATGGCGATCCATCGTGTAATGATATATTTCGTGATGTTCAGTCTTGACTCGTCGACATACGATTGCGGTGGCCTTTCCCTTCTCTCAACTTTTTGAGTGAAGTAGAAGCTATCTTCACGAACTCTTCAAGCCCGTCGCAAATGTCGTCGCGAATTTCACCGCTTTTGGTCCCTACTTCTTCCACGGCAGTTTCGACAATCTCCTCGGTTTCCTCTTTGAACTTGCACAGCTTGTCGTCGACCACTTCACCAAGCTCTCGTATGCAGTCTTCCTTGATTGTGTCGACATCAAGCTTGTGGTCGGCAACCACGTCCTCAAACTCCCCCTCAGCTTGAACACGGAGGCTGTACGCTTGGTCATTGGCATCGGCGAAGATCGAAGTCAAGTGATCCTTTGCCAGAACTTCCAGGCGATCGGCTATGAGTGTGCCGAGGGAAGGCGAGGGTTGGGGCGTACAGCTGGCTCTAGGCGGAGGCGACGAAGATGGTGATCGTCTGGGAGCAAGGGATCTATGGAGGACATCCGGCAATATGCTCCTGAGAATGTTGGGCAACATGCTTTCGACAACGGCTGGAAGCTGAGCCGCGACGGCCTTGTTGACGACGTCTTGAAAGGCGAGCTGGGCACTGGTGTGTAGAGATGGGTGTGCACTCGTAAGTCCTGCTTCCTCCTTCTCGAATGGCGAATGATGGGATGTGCCCGGTGGACAAGGTGAGGATGTTGCGACTTCTGTGGGCGACCCTTGATCGTAGTGCGGACGTTTATGAGGAGGCGATGCAGGCTGCGAGGGTGGTGTAACTATCTGCGTATGAGTAATCGTCGAGTAGGTGATTGTGGCACGAGGTGACCTACAACGCCTGGGTCGCTTTTGTGATGCACCTGCGTCTACCGCGTTTGTGTACGAAGGTGGTGGTTGGTGGTCTTCTTCAACGGTACAGAAGATGGCCCAATCCGCGTATACACATCCATCGGCACTCTCAGAGACCCCCGAAAACGCTCCCAATTCTTTGAACAGGCGTTCTAGAGGAAGACGATTGTTGGCGTGCACCCAATTGTAGTCAAAGGCGATATCGATGGCTGTAGCTTTCGCGAGGGTAGTCAGGCGGTGGAAGGGGGCCTCATATCCGCTCTTCGATGTGAAGGTAGCGGTTGAAGAAGGGCACCTGATCTTGCATGGCTTCGCGAGCGTTAAAGCCAATACTCTTATTTGGGGATTTCCGGCGCGTGCGATGGAGGTCAACTGGTCGTGGGAAAGGGACGTGGTATCATTGCCGAGCGTAGTTGCGTCGCGCATCAGGTTGTCAGCATCATAGATCAAAGTAAACGTTTGTTCATCATCGAAGCCATTAATGAAAGTCGTGCATTGTAAATGGAAGCTAAGCTGCAATGGCTCCTCGTTGTACTTCACGACCAAGACACATGGTGACTGTGCAGCAGGGTCCGATCTGACGCTTGCCAACACGGGCACACCCTTCTTGGAGACAAGCCAGCGGACCATGGTGCAGAAGTATCACTCACAAGTGATATCCCCCTTGCGATGAAGCAAGCGCAAGGGAAACCCACCCGCCCGGGCTTTTGACGCGTTGTGCGCGGAGAGCAGCCCTGACTCGTTGTGTCCAGCTCGGCGAATGGTGCTGGGTGTAACGGAAGCGCGGTGTCGGCTCGTGAACTGCTGTCCCCGTCGTGTCCGCACAACCTGTGACTGCTTGAGAACCGCCCCTTTGACGCGTGAGTCGCCGACGCGTGGGCTGTAGGCCGACAACGCCGCGCGCACGTCAAAGGTCCCGGGGGATGGCGGACTGAGGCAAGGCGACAGGTAGGCGAAGAGGATCGGGGGCCAGGAGCTGACGAGAGACGGTGGCTGCGATTGAAGACGGCTAGCAAGTGAGGTCGAGATGGTTAGGGATGATGGCGGTGATGGCGGTCGAAGTGGAGGTCGCGCTCTAAGCGTGTCGGTGGCGAGGGCTGCATCTTCCGGGGTCGGATTTTCTATTTCCCCGTGTGAACGCTAGGCCTTCCAGACTAGCGTGACGACACCCCCGCCGTTTCTCGATGCTTTGTCACACATCAAGCCTCGCCATCCCTAACAATGTCAACGGCAACGATGCTTTTTACACGCTCAGCGCCCTTTAACATCTCTAAGTGACATAACGCGATATGTATCGTACCAACACGATACACACCAACATATTTGCGGCCACGCGCCGCTCGTAGTGCGCGAGAGGCAGCTCTGATTCCAAGTGCAGTTCCCAGCACATCGGCGCATATAACAGCACGCTCGCGCGAAGAAGAATGGGCCACTTTTCTTTTCGCCCTATGACGGCTGGCGCGGTATGGTGGGGAAAGTCTCAACAGTCGGACGCGCAGCAAAGACAGGTGAATATTATGTGTAACTCTTATCGGATATGCGTTCTGGATCTACTGGACGAAGAGCCACATCCCCAGCTTGGATCTGAAGATTGGAAGCGTTCCTGTCGCAACACGGTCATGAGTTATATGTCCACCCACCAGCTCTGTGGTTGCGAAGCGTCGTGATGGATGTGATCTGAATCTTCGGCTCGACATGATGATGCGACGAGAATGAGACTTGCGTCCTTCCAGCGCTTCCGAGGCCAAGCAGCGAACGACAGTGGGAAGAGAACGCACGGCATCATGGCAGTATCGCTGACACCTCAGCACCGTTCTCAGGTCTCCTCAGGGTCGACAATGGTCATGTGCTCCTCAAACATTCTTCTTGAGGAATGGTCAGATACGCACATGTATCTGCTGTCTCGCGACACCACTTCCCATTTCGTCCGGAAGATAGTGCATCCTCTCCATCGTGTTCACACCGTTGAGTTCTTGCCGCGGTATCTGGACGGCGAAACCAATATCATGGCATACATATTCTCGTCCCACAATAAGCGATAAGATTTGGTTCCTGAATGGTACGCTTCTCCAAGACCACAGCCTACGCCTTCGAGATTACACAGGGAGCATCGAATTATCTCATTTCACCGATGTAAGGTCAATTGAGAATATCGTCATCGATAAACTGCGGTCTCATGATGCTTTAGCACCTTTGGGCTCTAACAATTGTGATCGCTCTTATTCGAGTTGAAGAGTACTTTTGCGTTTGGGATAGTGATGGTTTCTTGATTCCCATGTCCAACTGTCTGCGCTCTTTTAACGCGATTGAGAGACGTTTAAACTTGCTTCTACTCTGAGATATCTGGCGTTCATCAAGATGTTGACGATTGATCGTGCCTGTCACAATAGCGTAGAACTACGAGTCGGTCAGACGCTTCGCACATAAACCTTCAGACCTGCGATCGGGATGAACCGACTGCAGCAGCGCTATATCGGTTGTATGCAGGCTTTGACGGTGCCTCAGGGAAATGATTGAATGCATGTTTTGACAAACTCAGCCTCCAGCACTGTCATTCGTTGTGCCAACATGAAACCGACTCCTTTAGGCCGAGCCCTAAGTGCGATCAGACTAGATCAAGTCTGCAATTCAAATCGCCGGTAACTGGTCACTTCAGAATACGAAGAGAGAGAGAGGGTGCAGAAGCATGACGAATATAGTGTGGTCCTGATGCGTGCTCCGATCGAAGGGTGAAGTTAGCTTCAAAATAACTGGAGCAGTGTAATGCAGATCAACAATACATGGTTGTAGAGTGTGGAGACAAGAGCGAGGCAATATTATAACCTTACAGTTATAGGTTAATCTGCTGTTTCGGGGACTGAATTGCGGTGCAATAGATGCTATCATGGAAAAAGCGATACCTCTTGGCTGGACAGGTGCGTTCAAGTTACTTCATCCACAGTTGAAGACCACGAAGATGTAATCGTAACACTAATGTGCGACGAAGAAGAAGAAGGAGCTGGCAGTAAGAGGATCGTACAAAGATTGGCAAAGTGATGGTATGAGAGTCCAGAGAAGCGTGACAGGGCAACATGCGCACGATGTCTCGTAAATCAGCGACGTGTTCAAGAGTCCCCACAAGTATCGAGTGCGGCAAAACTCGGATCCAAACGGTCACAGGAATCTCTGCACGTTTTACTGTCGCCGTGTCACCACCAGAGAAGACGAAAAGCACTGGTCTTTGCCTGTACCTTGCACTTCTTTTCGGGGTGAGCTTTCTTCGTCAGCTCGTCTATCATAACGCATGCTAAAATCTCCTCCTTCGTGGAACTGCGATTTGCTTCTGCCTAATACGAAACATAGAATATCTAGCGGAAGAGCTGTGAGGTCCTGCATGTTGCGTCAAACTTTCGCACTCTTGCATCAGCAAAACAAACGACGAATCCTGAAGTCTCAGACCTGTCTTACACCGCCCGCACCGTTATCCGAACTGTTAGTGAGCTAGGCTTTTACACAAAGAGCTTCTCGAGTCCAGAATGTCTTGCACTGTCGTGATGATCCAGGAGCACAGATTTTGTCGGAGAACCTGAGACGCTGAGGTACGAGAAGTGTCCTGCGCTTCGTCTCGTGAGCAAAGGCCACGCCATAGAAGCTAACAAGGACGAGTGTAGTTGACACTCTTGGACAGCATGGCTTCATACGGCAATACCTGCGGCACGGTCACTATGTCGGACGGAGATGCGATTGCTGAGCAGCGATGCATACAAGGAACAGCAACAGCATCGTTCTCGGGTGAGTTACAGACTGCACAGGTACTAATGGTCTATTGTCTTTGGGTGTATTCTTTATTGTTCCGACACATCTGCACATCTGCGGGCTGTTTCTACGTCCCGGATTTTGTCGCTTGTCGTCTCATGGCCGTGAAACACTCAGCCAGACCAGACATTCGCTTTGGTGTCTCGAGCGTCGCCTTCACCGCTCCCTTTTCTTGGTGTCTTCCATGCTGAGACCCCGTGAGGAAGAGACGCCTGCCTGACCAGTACAGGGATGCTGATGTTGAGTTAGTCCCTTCGGGGCGTGGTGGTGTAGCACGAGCATGATGTATGGATCTTCGCGTAGGCAGATTTATCGCTTCGCGCGAAAAAGGAAGGCTTTTCTGGCGTCACTGGTAAGTCTGCCTGCTTGATGGTCAATGTAGGCTATCACAATTCGAACAGTGTGACGTTTATAGATGCCTACAGCCGTCACGCAAGCCAGCCCTAATTGTTTCTAATAGTCTCATCATCCAGCAGCGACTATGCTGAGTTTGACAGTGACAGCTTGTTCAAGTGATGTCTTCACCATCACTCACACTACCAGTACTACTGCATCTTTGACCGCGAAGCGCTGCCGCGCTACCACTACATGATATGCTGCGAACACGCGAAACTTTCCACATTCACGTTTTCACTGACCCAAGTTAACCGCTTGCAGCGTTCAAGATATGCATATTCTGAACCTTTCTGTAGTCAATCCAGAGCCGGGGGAGGTATCAAGACTTCCTTCCGCCCCAATGCGGCGGCTCATGGTCCCCTTTGTCCACTCGCAGCGCATTATGGTGCAGGTCCTTGATGGCCAGCATCAAAGATCTTGCGACTATGATAGGCGCGCGTTATTATGACAGCACCTCTTCTCGCACCCTGAAAACTCTCGGTGGGGAAGACCTCTTCACTCTACCTCTTCAATTGCACTTCTCGGTTACCATGTAATCCAAGGTGGAAGTAATCGAGTGCAAAAGGTTCTATAGCGGTGTTGTGTAAGCACGAGCTCTTCCACCTAGCTGGAAACAAGGCTGATCGCCTCCAGAATCTGGACAAGATTACACCCAGGTATCTTCTATGGAAGGCCTTGACTTGTTTTAAAGCTGTAAGCATTAGCGTTTTGTGTAAGCGGTGCGCGCACAGTTGGCCCGCTGCACAAAGCGGATGTTACGTGATATTATGGAAGAAGAACGAGACTTCAAAAATTGGAGCTGGGAAAAGGTTCAGATACCATGATGCTATAGAAGTCTCGAAAACATCGATACCATCTGCACGGCTAGAATGGAAGAAAGCTGATGTGTCAAGACATCATGCGGACGTGCCGTCTCTGGCCTTGAGATCAAGATGTCATATGTGGTGGGTCTCCCGTCGAAGCCAATCTCATTTCTAGACCCCCAATTGACCATACGGGGTCTTTACAGACCGGCCGTTCGCGAATTTTGCGCAGCAAGATATAAGCAACGCAAAGATAATGTTGTTGGGGCCACTGCTATCTATCAGCATTTGCATCGCGGAATTTGAAGACACTTACTAGAATACACCCATGCACACGTCGCTAATGGTCCCGACGTAGAAGCCAAATGCCGTTGGCTGCCCATGCTACGTCAATCAAACTCGTTCCAATGACATTCCTCTTGTCCATTCGCCGCACTCCCTCGGGTCATATCCTTGGCAATGAGAGGTATGTCGATGGAGTCGTTTGGTTATGCCGTCGGCCATTCCGCTACCAGCCTTCCTTTCATGGCTTCTCACTATTATGCTGATCAAGGTCTGGTGCCCAGCCCATGGCCTGAACATTCCCATACGTCTCACCGGCCGGGCTACGATGCAGCAACATCTGCGTTTCGGATG